TGATGGGTATAAGTTTAGTGGATAGTAGGCGTGTGTGGATGTAAAAAGTCATACCCTTCGTGGGTCGGTGATGAGTTTGAGACATTCCCCGCCTCGCATTCGCCCTCCCTCATCCGCATATCACACATCCATTAGCCCACTAACTACTCACCATATAAATTTTGGTCCATCATGAATTTAGATATAATTTTAAAGATTATTTTGTAAAACTTAAAATTTTATTAGACATGACTTGTAACTTAACCAAATGTTAGTGTAACATCCCGAAATCCGGGACAATGACTAAAATAAAATTTTGGTAAATTTAGTGACCAATTTCAGAAAAGATGGAAAGTTCAGGGACTTAAATGAAACGTTTTGATGATGGATTGAATAACAAAGTCTGAAAGTAATAAGGGTATTATGGTCATTTTCTAGGGAAGATTTTTATTTCCCTTTATAAGGGCAATAAGCACGTGGGAATGAGATAATTTTTCCAGAGTCTTCTTTAGTTTCTTCTTCCTCTCAACGTGAGCTCTTCATGACTAAGGTGAGTTTGATTTTCAATTGATTTTCTTGTAATTAAAAGAATGGTTTTAATTGATGGAGCATTAGGAAAGATTAAATAACTTAAAAGGAGAAAAAAACTAAAGATAAGGAAGTTATGGAAGATTTAATATAAGGGGTAATAAAGTAAAAATTTGAATAAGAGGGTTTAAATGAGATTGGAAGTTGAATTTGACTTGTCACCAACTTGATTAAGGGATATGAAGTGTTAGAATTAGATTTAGAACATATTGGAATTTGAGTGAGATTCTTAAATTCTATATGGAGGATTGGATTTTTAAGTTTTAGAGGTATTGAATGGATAATAATTAGTTTAAGAAGGTGTATGGAAGTTAGGGATATAAAAAGAGGTGAAATATGAAGTATTGAGAGAATTATGAAGGGATTTTCGTGCTCAAAATAACATTTCTGGTTGTGTGCATCGATACACATTCAATGTGTATCGATGATCTCTCAAATAAATGAACATCGAATGCAATTAGTGCATCGATGCATAATGAGTGCATCAATGCACTCCCTAAAATACAAACATCGAATGGGATTTGTGTACCGATGCATATATAGTGTAGCGATGCACACGTTAAGGGATGCATCGATAAATTGTGTAGTGCATCGATACATACCTTCATTAAGAGATGAAAATAGCCTTTCTTTTATACTAAGAAATGATAGTTTAGAATATATTAATTAGTATACTGATATGTATCAATGTATTACTATGTAGATACATAATATAATATTGTTCCAGAACAATCGAAAGATTAGGATCGAGTCAAAGCAAGCAAGGCTAAAGAGAGTGCATTTTAGTAATGTATGATGAATGGAAACAAGACTCGCGATGAGTCTATTTCCTATGGTAGTATGCGTGAAATCATGAGCATGATCATGGGTGTAAGATGAGTATATGTGTTATTTGTGATTATATGTATTACATGATTTGTATGTGTGCATGACTATATAATGATGAAACGAACCTATAGGATAAGCACTATAGAAACTATGATATATGAGTTATAAAATGAAGAACTATAGAATCCCTATGAAAAGGATTATAGGAGTTATATGGAACTGAATTAAATAAATAGAATAATCTAGTATTTAAATATTGTGAGATAAGTGATATAAGTTATGTTATTGTAAATGTTAGTGTTATAAATCATGTAAATTGGTAAAAGGAAAATGAGATAAGATAAGTAGCAATTACCTATAAGATTCAAATAAGATTATTTGAATATGTAGCGTAAACTATATATATGGGTAAATTAGATATTATATGATTTAAGCATGAAATGAACATAAGATATAGTCAGATGAAATTATTATGTGATATGAGTATATGAATATGTCATATAAGTAATATAGGAAGGTCGATATGTTAAATGAAACTATGATCTAAAACTGTTAGGTTTTTATATGATATGAAGTATAATATCAAAGTACTTGAAATCATGTGAGGATGTTATAGGAATTAGAAATATAAATTATATGACATTAATGTATCAATTATAGGAAAATGAGTACATGATGTTGTAATAAATTATAGAAATTGGGGTAATGAAATTATATGAATAAGTGAAAGAGCAAAATAAGTTAAGTGACATTGACCTAAACTATATTATGAATTAGTGGTATAAGAATATGATATAATATATGCAATAAGAATCTATGTGTTAAATGATAAATATGAACTTATTAGAACAAAAGATAAGATATGCGATTATGAGTATTGAATACGTATCTATGTGATATAACCTATGAGATCATATGAAATATTATATGACTATGTGATTATATGAAAAAGAATACAATTATATGTGATAAGCTCTGTGATATGTGAATCATATGAAAATGTTCTACACGTAAGTGAACCATATGTCTATAGGTATATGTGATATGTGATTTATATGACAATGAGCTATGTGAAAGAACTCTGAGATTATGTGTATATGTGAATGTATGATAACATAAATATTAATGCTCATGTTGTGTGACATGAGAGCTAGAGGTATAGTTGGCATACCAAGAGTCGAGGGTATACGCGGTCCTTCGGGACATATGTATTCTTTGGAACATGTGTGAGGTCTTTTGAGACACATACTTGATCATTGGCATATATATATGATTCTTAAGGAATTTTTTACGTGGCCCTTAGGGACAATCTTGTATGGAACTACGATGCAATTCTACGTGGCACTACGGTGCAATTCTACGCGGCACTACGGTGCAATTCTACGTGACACTTCGATGCATTTATACGAGTTGTGGTAACAACATTAGTGCACAACCTCTATAGAATATATAGCTTTCAATTCCTTAGCACGTTGAGAAGATTACTCAGAACTTTTTTCCGGGTAAGATTTCAAGATAGTAACACTAGGATATTTATCTTCGAGCTCTTTGACAAGTTGAAAAGATAAATCGGGATTTATTTCGGTAGAAGATCTTCGGGCAGCAACACTAGGATATATTTATCTTTGAGCTCCTTGATAAGTTGAGAAGTCGGGATTTATTTCAGCAGAAGATCTCCAAGCAGCAACATTATCTTCGAGCTTCTTAACAAGTTGAGAAGATAAGCCGGGATTTATTTCCGTAGAAGATCTCCAAGCAGCAACACTAGAATATTTATCCTCCAGTTCTTTGGCAAGTTGAGAAGATAATTCAAGATCTTGGTCGACAGAAGATCTCCGAGTAGCAACATTAAAGTATTTATCTTCGAGTTGTTTGACAATTTGAGGAAACTCCTCCACAGCATATCCTGTGGCATGATAAACATCCCCTTGTTTTTCCCTCAAATCCTTGACAGCATATATCCCGGGGCCACACTGTATAAAGATTTTTACAACATCAAATTGGTCTAATCATTGATTGATAGACACTCATCCTACATAAGGCAGAATAGTACAGTTTCGTGGATTTCGTATCGTGTAATTGGGATAGGGATGAATATAAGTTATTGGATAGTGGGTAGATAAGGATGTAAAAATTCGTACTCATCGTGGCTAATAGATATGTGATGCGTTTAAGACCTTACCTCCACACATTCACTCACTCGCTAACTACTCATCATAAATGATGATTGTAGTACTGAAGTAATTGATGTGACAAATATTATTTGAAATTTGAGAATATTGTGATAAAGAACAAAAATATTATGTATTTTCCATTTATTTTTTTAGACTTTAATTGTGTCTTTTATTATAATGTTTTATGTAGTAATACCTTGGTTTATTTTAAAACCTATGTTAATCCTTATCTCAGTTAATCCTTAGTTTATTTAAATATGCTATATTTTATTGCTTATGTAATCTATGAGGTTGCTAACAGGCGGGTAAATACAATTATAAGCGGGTACGAGATGGAGGATGGGTATCCAGTTGAGTAGTGAGTGAGAGGGTGGATTTGAGAATGTATTCATGTGGACGGTGTGGATTTAAAAAAAATTTGGTTGTGGGTGGTGGGTATATGACGAATACGAAAATTTTAGGTAGATATGGAGATAGAGGATGGGGTATCTGCACACACCTCGCCCGTTTTCCATCCCAAACTTGTCTCTTAGAAATTTTAAATTATCATATATTTTAATTTTATCTTTTTATTTTCTATTAATAATAATTTTCACCCTTAGAATTTAGGATAAATTACAAATTTGGTAACTAAATTTTACCCTCTCTCCTATTCCACTCACTGTATTGTAAATCTTTTCAATTTCCTCACTGAATTTAATACATTGGAGTTTTTAGTCACTCAACCTTTTCCTCACTAACGGTGATATGTCGTGGCTTTTTTGTTGTTAACAGAGGAGTGACCAAAAAATCCAATACATAAAGTTCAGTGATTAAATTGAAAATAATTAAAAGTATAGTGGTGAAATAAGAGATAAAGTAAAGTTCAATGGTTAACTTTGTAATTTACATGTTAGAAGAATAAAATATAAAAGTCATATCATAGTGTCTTTAGTGAGGAAAGAGTTGAGTAGAAAAAAACCAAATATAATAAGTTCATTCAGGAAATTGAAAAGATTTGAAATATAACAGTGGAATAGGAGAGTAAAATTCAATTACAAAATTTGTACATTACCCTAAAATTCAATAAATTTGTCCCCTTTTACAATTTAAAATTTTTCCATTAATATAAAATCTTATCTCGTCCTTACTTAAGGCTAGACGTGGTTGTTTAATAGTTGAAATCTACTTTTAATCAAATGCTTGCAGGATTCAGTTTTGCCTGTTGCTTAAGAAAATTGTTGACTACTCCACGTATTGTTTGTGGCGTTTAGGGTTTGCTTTACGCTTGAGGTTGCAGATGTTTCGTAAAATGTCATCAAGTAGAGTTGAATTCTGCAGTTTTTGGTGATTTTAGGAAGAGAATTGAAGGGTGAAAACATCCTAGATTTTACGAAAATTCTTTCATTAGACTTTTCTCAAGTGCACATTTCTCCATGCCATGTCAACTGGTTGTTGCCATATAATCACCAGATTTGGTGATCTACACATAATAAGAGTTAATATTGTTTGTAATTAATAAATACACAGGGATACAGAGTTGTTCTGTCCAGGAAATTATTAGCCATTGATTTATAAACTTCAAACTGTAGCATTTATTCTATGTATAGCATGCAATTCAACTGATCCAGGAACATGATCTCCCATTGCACCACCTCATTTGCCTGTTGGAACATGAAAAAATCATATCAGATTCACCTTCATGCATTTGTCGACTTTTTAGCACACTCAACTTGCCAGAAACATTAAGAACAACTCACTAGTCTCATGAAAACAAAATTCTATCATTAGAATCATTTGAATAGCTCGGTTATTAAATAAATAAATGGAAATTTAGGGTAGTTGTTGAACAGTATAAACTCTGAGGCAGTTTATGCTAGAACAGACAGAGAGACAAACTTGAAGGGAGTACCTTGATTCTAGTTTGGAGTTTGGAACACTATTTCTGTTATTTTACTACCAAAAACATTTTTGTTTCGTTTACCCCCTTTTTTTTTCCCCTCTTTTCACATTTTCAATTGCATATTGGTACATGGAGAAAACAGAGAGAGCAAGCCAAATGGTAAACTACTTACCATAGTTTTGCCGCACCGTTGTGAATCTGTAAATTGCCTTAATTAGTGACCCGTATTCCATAGACTTCAAGGGTCCCATATGTCTGTAGAAAAGAGTAAAAATATATAACTCAGTGCACGGAAGCAGGATTTGTTCACACAAAAAAAGGATTAAAGTTATGCAATGAAAGTAACTTTCAGCTCTTAACAAAGTACGACACTACATCCGCAGTCAGTACACACGACAAGAAAAGAATATGAAAATTTCATAGCAACTATAAGCTGAATGGAGCTTTTACAAATATCCTTGGCGCTTATCGTTACTTTTCCCTTAAAATAGAAAACAGAAAACGAAAAAAGGAAGCTATGCATTAATTATCCCTTGGTGCGTGTAGAAAAAACAATATCCTACAGATCTACTTTTCTATATATTTTTTTTCCTTTTTCCTTCTTTTTTCCCTTCTATAAAAAATGGTGTACTGAAGAAAAGACTATATAGAAAGTTGTAAATTCTTTCATCAGTCAAAGTCCTAAATAAACGTCTTTGGCAGATGAGAAAACAATAAGGTACTTTCCTTGATTCCAAGGAATTTAGGTCAAGACTCAATTATACTCACTGAATCTCAGTATATCGCATTCTCCATGCAGGGAAACCTAAGTGGCACCTGGCAGGTCCATATATCAATATCAGATCAGGTTCCGGCCCTCCACTGCCTGATAGAAAAGAAGATTACCAAACGTCAAATTACCAGAGCAAACAAAACTGGTTGTAATAACTACCAAGTAAATCAGACAAGTAACACAAACCAACAGTTTTGAGTGCCTCGCTCATTTGAGAGTCAGTGAAGATTTGTTCTCCCTGATTTGAGCCAGTGGCACCTGATTTTATGTACTTCATAAGAAGTACATTGGCTGCTCTTGCGACCGCTTCTTTCCCATCAGAAAATGATACAAACTCCAGAGTCATACATGGTTGGTCTAGTAAAATGTTATCTTCATGAGTATCCTGCATAAAATAGATCAAAATTTTGCTAGTAGTTTGGAACTTTTGGAAACATTCCATTTGAATCAATTATGTTGCGAAATAGTCCAATGACTTGATACATAACGGAAGCCAGGCAAGACATATGGTCCATGAAGTAAGCTCCTTAAACTAACGTTATGAGAAAGAAATCAAATAAACAGTCCAAAGAGTACAACAAGCAGTCGAGGACGAAACAAGTATAAATCTTACAAATTTGTATCATACTGTTAATAGGAGTTTTAAGGTTTGCAGACTGTAAAGTTAATCTTCAGCTACAATATTTTGACAGCTTAGTACCATAAAGAACCTTATTATGAAAGATCAATTCGATGCTGCACCACAGGACAGTTAGGTTTTCAAATGATCAGCCATCTATCCAATTTACATAGAATATATTATTAACGAGCCGTAGTGAACTATAAAAACTCTTAATCTGACCATGACCAGAGAGGATAGTACCTGAAACAATATTGCACCATCGAATTTATCCAAGATTAAGTCTTTTGATTTCTTCAGTATACCTACAACAGAAAAATGGCATCAAATCCTAAGAAATGCGGATACATCTTCACCTGATCAATCTAGAAACAGAGAGATTCCAGAAATCTCACCTTCGTTATCGTAAAGGCAAATATGGTTGATACCAAGAGCTACCACCCATTGCAAAAGCTGAATAACATTTGAAGTTCGGCAAGCATCTTCACTTTCTATCACAATAGCCAGATAGTTGATCTTGGATATATGAAGGGACTTGTATCTCCTCAGTAATCCCCGCGAAATAAGATGGCTTTCAAGTGCATGCACCATGCCCGTAGTGAAGTAGCATAAGTAGATAATAGCATGTAGGAGATGCCAAGACATTCGAAGTAGAATATTTCCAATCTGCACAAAACCTTAAACTCAAGATGAAAATCTAAAATCTAATATAGCTCAAGGACATAAAATACACTCAGCACATAACCATGATAATTAGACAGGAGTTCATCACTAGAAAGCTTCAAAGTCAATTGTTAACCATTACATTAGAAGAAAAAAAAGGAATATACAGTTAAAATGTATCCAACAAAAATGGTTGACAAATCAAAGCATTGAAGTTTAAACTATTAGGAAGTAGGGGTATTCGATAATCCATGCGTAATCTTTTCTATATCAACTATTCGCTGAAAATAAAATAGTAATGCTAGTAAAAAGATTATTAAAAAAAAAACCAACATCAGTAATCACGTACTTTATCAGTCCAAAATCGCAACATCCGCTTTTTCCTTGAGAAATCCATTGATCTCTGAGAGCAAAGAAAGTAAAAAAAAAACCCAATTAGTGATTAAAAAAACATAAATTGGTTGATATGAATTGGTTACGAAAATAGCTTGAGAAAGTGGGAATCGAGCCTCTTACATAAGCAACGGTGCTGTGGGGTTTAGCTGAATATGAGCTTCGATCTTCCAGCAAAAGGAATTCGAGAATTGGGGAACCCTAAAAGCAAAATCAACAGGTAAAAAAAGCTAACTTTTTGGAGATTGAAAAGAGGATGGAAAGAAGAGAGGAAGCAGCTTCAAAACGTGACTAGCTAGTGAAGAGAACGTGTGAATGAGTGAACAAGAAAAACACCGTTTTTGCGTTTTTTTTTGGGAAACAACGCCATTGATTAACTTAGGTTTTTCTTTTTCTCTTCTAATTATAAAATAGAATAAATATCATTTTCAATAACCTAATTTTGATATTTATGAGCAATGTCATATCCAATTTTTTAGTGCAATCTATTTATTTTTATTATTTGAGATATTGGGTTCAAATATTATTAATGTTAAACGTGAACGTTAGATGTTAGATGTTAAATGATTAAGAATTATTTTTAAACATATATTATTTGTACCTACCCAGGTTCATGAAAATATTTTTATGCCATTAGATATTTGAGTTTTTTTCATGTAATTAGGTATATGATATATTTGGTAATTACATATGTTTGATTTTAATTGATTTATACTTATAATTTTAATATTTTTTAGTTAAAGGAAAAATATGTGTTACATATTCAAAACTTAGTAATTAAAATTTTAATCATGGAGTTGAATAAGTCACTTGGGAGTTAAAGACTATATAAGATTAATATGTCTATCTTTAATTCATATAAATTTTGATGACAAAATTTTATTTAAATAGAAGATAATTCTAACGGTTAAAAATATCGAGTTAAGGCCAGTTTGGCATTGTTGTCAAGAAGCACTTGTAGTTAAAAATTGCGTTTTGAAATCATAAACCATACCAAGTGGCTAAAAGTTAAAAAGATAAATGCATTCGAAATGGTGGTCTTAAATCAATCGCAAAAGTTAGAAAATCCAACTTTTTCATTTTCAAATTGTGTTTGAAAGCTTATTTATGTTTTTACCCTTATATCAAGTGAGTTTCATCCATTTGTAATGTCTAAAATAATCATTTACATACTTAAAAATATTTTTATTAGTAATCTCAAACACTCAAAATTTTAAATTAAACTAATCAAAATATTTTTAAAAGTAGTTTTCCACCACAATTTTCAAAAGCTATTTCGGTGAGAATTAGGTCCATTTGACATTGATAAGCATGGTTTTCTGGATCGGACCGGTTAGCGAACCGGTCATGCTACCGGTTCACTAGTTCAATCGGTTTGACCGATCGGAAAAACCGGACGACGTCATAATTATTTAAAAAATTAAATAAAAATACCAAAAATATTTAATAAAAAATAATTTTTTATATCACAAGTCATAACATATATAAGTTAAAAACCATAAAATCAAGTGAAACAAAATGATTCAAATTAACTACAACATAATATTTAAGGTAAAACATATTAAATAATAAATATAATTATATAACTATAATTAAAAAATAAATTTGGGGTTAAAAAATCATAACAAAATTGTTTGGTTTAATTTTTTTTAAAAAACAATCCCACATGGCTAAGAAACATAGAAGAGCATCCCAAAAGTCTAAAGAGTAAAAATATGAGAACAAAACAATCTCACATTGCTAAGAAACATAGAAGCGCATCACAACTAACTTCTATAAATAATAGAGGTAATTTGACATTCAAAATCATGAAGCCTTTTGGTGAGCATTGAGTGAATTATTCTTTCACTTCAATCAAGCTCGAATTTTAGGCTTCAATCGAGCTTCTAATTTTTTTTTGAGTTCAAGCCTTTTTGAGTTCAAGTTTCAATATTATATTTCGAGTTTGAGTTGAACTTGATAATTTTTAGATTGTGAGTTTGAGTTGAGTTGAGCTTATTTTTAAAGTTTTCAAGTTCGAGTCGAGCTCAGCAATACTCGAGTTCGACTTGGCTCGTTTAACAAACGACGTTGTTTGGTTTAATTTTTTTTAAAAAAAAAAACAAAAATCCCAGTTTTTTCTGGTTTTCAGCCGGTCCGGTTCGAACGGTTCAACGGTTCTGACCGGTTCACTAATAGCGGTTCAACCGGTTTATATTGAACCGGACTAAGCAACGGTTCCCGGTTGAACCGGCCGGTCCGGTCCGGTTTTCAAAACAGATTTGTTAAGGAAATTTTAATTTTGGAATAATTGAAGAATGAGCAAAAGGAAAATTAACCCATTTTAATATTTTTGATTAATTGTTCATCCAAAATGATTATTTGGACGTGGGTTTAAGAGAGATGGGCAAAAACTACTATTGGCGACCTCATCCCTACACCTTTAGCCTTTTTTTCTCTTTTCTTCTCTCATTTTATTCCTAAATAAAAAGTTTAGGACATATGGGTTGAGAAGCTCAAGATTTGAAAGATAAAGAGAAGCTCAAGATTTGAAAGATAAAACTATCATTTTTCATCTCTAGAACTTTAAAATGAGGTATTGATATCTTTAAAAGAAGTTGAGTGAAGAGTTTTGAGGGTTTAAACAGGATTTAGGTAATTAGAGGTTCCATTGAAGGGTTTAATTTATGAAAGAAATTATAGATTCATAGTTTTACCATTTAATTATCTTTTGTGTAATATAATTTTATTTGGTGTTTGTTTGATCTGTGAAAGAGGTTGAACAATACTCTAAGACCGAATGAAATTAAAAAAGATAATTAAATGATTAATGTTTTGCATTAAGGTAATACACTTGTGACCTTGTTATGTTTAACGTGAGTCATAAATATGATGTTTTGAGAGTCAAATATATGCATTATGTGTGTTTTGGGTTAAAAAGTATGAATTGATTATTTGAACCATGATTTACATTAAAATTGTGCATAAGAGATGATATAAGATGTAATAAAAGTGACATGAGTATTAGAGATTGTATAAGGCATCAAAGGTGATGTTTTGAGCCAATCTTAATTACTTTTTTGAGTCTAAGTATTCATTTTTTCCATGTTGGTAGCGATATCACTATATGATATCAATATCGTATGATACTGTGAACCAAGCTCGGATAATATTATTTTTTGATTTGTAACCATGAAAGGTGATTAGCGAGTCTTATAAGACTCGATATTATGTATTAATGTAAATTACGATTATGATAGTATCGATTGATTTATGGTCATGTACGACGATTGATGGATATAAATTTATATATGTGGCCATATATGGTGATTAGTGAGTCACATGAGATTCAATATAAATATTTAATTTATGACTATGAATATGGTAAGAGATTATCCGGGTATATCTTTTATGATTGAGAACATGTGCAATATTGATGAATATATATTTGTGCGTATGATATATGAAAATTTGATATGCATTCCAATAAATTAAATATAATAAATGAACTATTATTTGAAATTCAGTTAAACTAAAGTGACAATGAAACAAGTATTGAGTATGAGTTGTTACTGACAAACTTTAAGTTTATATTTTATGAATGCTCACATCCTGTTATATGTGTATGTTTCCTTACATATTTATGTTTATGTTTATGATTTACATGAATTATAGTAGAGTAGATGTGTATTAGTATTACTAAACTTATGAAATTCAACATTTGAATGGTTTTTGTTCCCATGTTAGTAAATCTCATTTGATTCAGAGAAGCACTATCGGTGAAGAATCTCCAACACAACCTAATTAAAGTACAACACTTATCTTTTAGAGTGCATGTACTTATTTTTCATGGTTAACTTAATATATAAAATTGAATTATAATTATTTTAAAAAATAATTTTTTACTAACATGATATATCACATAATCACTTTTTACACATGTATATGTCGCATCAATATTGTGATCAAATTGTATCTGTCTAGTCAATAAAAAGTTGATTGTTAGTCAACTAATAGATTCTTTCAAACCAGATCACGCGAGTCGAATTCTCAAAGCGACTGATGTTGTGGTTACCCCTAACATGAATAGGAGTTTATGTCAATTATTCTCTACAGAGGAAGTTTTAGTTGCTTTCCATGCTATTTATTCGAATAAGGTTTCGCGATATGATGGGCTACTTGCAAGCTTTTATAAGCATCCTTAGAAAATTGTTGGGAAAGATTTGGTCATCTGGTGCCTCTAGCTCTTGCGAGGTGAGATATACATGGCTATGGTTAATAAGACTATTCTAGTATTGATTCCTAAAGTGGACAAGGTAAAATACATGAAACATATTAGACCTATCAGCTTATGTACAATGGTTTACAAAGTGGTTTATAAGGATTTGGTGAACAGACTAAAACATATTATGAGTGTTTGCATAAGTGATAACCAAACTACATTTCTCACGTGAAGGCAAATATCAGACAATATTCTAGTCGCTCATGAGATCATGCATTACTTGAGTGCATCGAGGAATGGGATTAACAAGGGTGTCACACTTAAGTTAGATATTAAGAAGGCGTACGACCATGTGGAATAGTGTTTTTTAGGAGTGTCGTGTTGAAACTTCATATTAATGCTGACTTTGTAGAGATAATCATGAGGTATGTCACGTCGATTTCTTTTACTACTAGGTTCAGTGGGGCTCTTACTAGAGAGTTCTCATCGAGTCGCAGACTATGACAGGATGATCCTCTTTATCCTATTCGTAACTCAAGGTCTTTTGTTTCGTTTCGTAAGACACAACAAGAATAACTGATTAAAAGAGTTCGGGCTTGTACAGTATAACCTAGGGTTTCTCACTTACTATTTGTATTTGATAGTTTGGTTTTTCAGAAAAATTGTGTTTCTAAAGTAAACAAATTAAGGGATATTCTGTCTGTCTATGTTGTCGCCTCAAGACAAAGAGTTAATTTAAACGAATAAGCCATCTATTTTAGTCTTAATACTATTTTGAAGCACCGACAACGTATGATGAACACATTTAACATTCCGACAATGGAGTCTCTAGGCCATTATATGGGCATTTCTCTGAATATTGGGAAGAATAAGACTAATACATTTAGCTACATTCGTGATAAGGTCATTGATAGGGTCACATGATGGACTCAAAGATTATTATCGTATGGGGGTCGAGAGATATTTCTCAAGTATGTGGCTCAGGCTCTATCTCAAAATACAATGTCCTGTTATCTTTTTCCTGAAAATCTCCTTAATGAGATAATTACGATTATGCGTCAATTTTAGTCAACGTGGGATATATCTAAACGCGGTTGGCCTCTCGTGGTATGGTCCACAATATGTAAGCCCAAATGTGGTGAAGGATTAGGATTTTG